TTACTGCAGAGCAAATTAGTCTACTCCATGGAAAAGTGAACATGTAGATGCACCCCCTAGAGATGTATAAAGCTTTCCTCAATTCTATATGGGAGAGAGTGAAGGTCACCTACAAGAGACTCTATTTTTACCTGTATCTTTTGCAAATGGAGTTCCACTGAGTACAGTAGGTTCAGCTTCAGATAAGAGAAAGCAGGGGACCTATCTGGGCTCCCCACCCCGCCCCATTCTGCTCCTGCTTTATAAATGGAACTCTGGAAGACAAATATATAATAGTGTTCAGAACCATGTTATGTCTTTCTTCATATCTTGCTGGTGTTGCTGAGCAGTCACAGGGCTCAGCTGCCATTGATCTGAGAGAAGGATCTTAATCTCTATCATAATGTTTTCTGCAAAAACAGCCAATATAGGCTAGGCATAAGAACAAAGAAAATAAATCTATTTCCTCCCATATTTCTTCCTATTTTCCTGAGGACAGTAAAATGGTATTCAAGGAAGTACTCCAGGACACTGAGGTCAGCCACTTCAGTTTAAACAATATAACCAGACTTGAAAAGGGGCATGTTTGTTCCTGAAAGCTTATCTAGAATTTCTCCCAAGTTTAAAATTGGCCAACTAAAAGTTATCACAAAAAAAATCTTTAACTACATATATGTTTCTGATACTAGTCAAATAAATGTTAGATTTTAGCTATGTAAAGATAGGTAACCCTTGCCAGTGACCTAATACTGAACTCAGTATTATGCCATAGTAAGTCCAGAGTCAATCCACTGAAGGAAATGAAGAATCTGGCTGCAGCAGTGGCTGTTTCTGTCAATGAAGATGCAAGCACAGAATTCATCTAACACAACATTCGAACAAAAAATAAAGGAAGATTATTATGACAAGAAAGGAGGCATCATAGGAAATATGCTATGGCTACAGATTACAGCATTCTTTAGTTGAAGGTTCATGGGATCTTTTCCAATACTATGTGTTTTACTTCTTCAAGGTCCTTCATTTTCATGACCAATACTGCTGGAGAGGGTTTGATGTACTGCCCTCAAAGGCAGTAGGGGCTCAGTTTATTGCTTCAACTGTCCTTCTAACCTTGCCAAGTTTCTGACTGAAGGACAAATTCTAATTGGTAGTAACAACACATGATCACATACTATATGATCTATTATGCTACTCTCAGGCCTGTGATGGGGATTTAACTGCCATCTAAAACAGCTCTTGACATCATTCAACTACAAAGATACATTCAAAATTAATTTGAGGAAAACATCAAAATCCATGCCTGATTCTTTTCCTGTTCATTTCCTGTACTGAATAGAAAAAGGTCCAATGCAAATTCTAATTTAGAAGGTCAAAAAAATGTTTCTCTGTAACAGCCATAGGGAAATTCAACAGTGATTTTTTAATGACAATCTAAATTGAATTTTGGCTACGCTTCTGGTACACCTAAAAAATAAGAATGCTAGACGGGTTATGTTGGTGTAAAATAGCACAATGTGTCCTTATCTACGATGCAGATGATTTTCCTTTCTTCATTAATCATATAACGTAAGTAAAACTAAGCTTAGGAGAGAATAACATACACTGTAGTAGTAAAGGACACCCTAAAAACTAAGTTTCACATCACCTCATTATGAGTTCCAAAAGAATTTCCATTTTTTAAATTAAGGGCTGTATTTAACAATTTAATAAATTGCGAGACCAGAGGAAAAGTTCCTTAAAAGAGCATCTTCACTATAAAAGGGTTAATCAATTTGCTCTATCATAATAAAGAAAAAAAATCAATTTCTGTTGTTGGGTTTGTTAGAAGTCAGGGCTTGTTATAAACAGTTTGTTATGATGAGGTTGTACTGTATATTTTTGTTAAGTTTCTTAAATAAGTTGTAAAACTAAAAGCAGCCTTGTCAGAGAAGACTGTAAAACAATGTGAAAAGAAAGCAGGCTGGAAGCAAGCAACATGCCAAGATGATTAAGAAATGTGGAAGAAATCCCCTTTTCCAAAAACTAATTTTTACTGTAAATCTCAGCTAATTGACATCCTCCAGGGCTATGGAAGAATTGATTCAGTCCAATAGTTTCAATAAAGCAAAAAAAATTAAATAGACCAATCAAAGAATGTTTCTTAGAGTAAACCATGTCTAAATAGGGCATGGACTGGAGAGATGATTGGAGAACTCAGCAAGTGTGTTGAGAAGACTAGCTACAACCTGCATGATTAGCTCCTTCTCCCTTATGAGTTTACTTGGCTGGTACAGGTGAGAACCTATACTGAATTCCTGCAAGTAGACAGAAGGACACCGAGATAAGCCTATATTCTTGTGCTTTAGGGATGTACTACAGTGATTTTCAACTGGGTTGCCATGAGATCCTTTTAAAGGTGCTGCCAGGTACTGTGCAATATTAGCAATATTAGGTGTGCAAGCACCTATGCATAATTCACGCAAACCAAGAATTTCAAATTGGAATCCACAGTGTCAAAAGCATTCTGACCTGTTGTTGTCTTTCTGAGCTCTTTGCAACAGAAGATTTGCTCTATTATTTTTCTGTAGTCAAAAAATAAATGACAGCTAAGAGGTGGCATTCCCAACTTCTGTGAGTGAAAGCTGCAGCACAGCAACTTGCTTGTATAGTTCAGACAATCCATTCAGGACTGGTTAGTTGAGTTGGAGATTACTCATTGATTTCACTCTTTCTGATTAATTCCTGGATCATTTTATCTGTGTCTGCTTTAATGATATCAGACAGGTGGGTGGTAACTCTCTTTGGAGAGATCTGCTCCTGTGCATCTGGTGGATTTTATGATGCAACTGTTACCTGAATAACAGGTATGCAGGTAGGCTGGATTCTGGTAAAAGAGGCAAGAGATAGGCCTACAGTCTGCTTTTTAGGCTGCTTGCAGACATTAAAAAACAAAACAAAAAATGCAGCATCTGTAAAGATTGTGCGCTTCAGTGGGGCTTTTAACTAAATCTGGTTCAATCCGTTATTAGATAAAAGTCCCCAAAAACCCCACTAAAGTGCCTGATCTATACAGATGTCAGGTGAGCCGGGCTGAAGTAACACACTGCCTCTTCTGGGTGTGTGCAGGGCTTGGCATGGGAAAGTGTAATTGGGGGGGGGGGGG